ATGTCCACAGACATACTTCATAGAGAGACACTGTCTTTTTTAAAAAATACTATTTTTATGTGTATATTTTGTATTACTTTTATGTGTGCCTGTGTCATGCAGTACCTGTGGAGGTCATAAGAGAGCGTCAGACTCCCTGAAACTGGAATTACTGAAGGTTTTTAGCCACCATGTAGTTGCTGGGATTCAAACCCAAATGCTCTGCAAGAGTAGACAGTGCTTTTAACCACTGAGCCATCTCTACCTACAGCCCCTAAGACACTGTCTTTTAAAAAAAGAAAAAGAAAGAGAACAAAAAAGGACGATGGAGGTAGGTAGCAACATTGCAGAGGGCATGCCAAAAAGAATTGGAAATTTTATAATGCTCTGTGCCTAGGCAGTGTCTACTTAATTATGAATCCTTTAATATACCCTGGTGTCTTCATGTTAGGTTCTAAAGATAGTTTTGCAATTAGTTTTATGTTAATGATACTACTTGATGTCGTATTGGTTATTTTAATAGCTATATTGTATGTTCTTTACAGATTTTATGTTCAAATTTAATAGAGTTCCGACACCAGTATCTATAAGTGAATCATAAATCAAAAAATAGCACATAGCACTTACTTTTATTTTGTGGTATATTTAGTGTCTTTATTTTGTAAATGCTTTTAGTAGTTTTTCTTTGAAGTACAAATAAGCTTTTCTATTATGATTTAGAAATTAGCTAGCTGCAATAAGAGATTGGAAGTGGGCTGGGTGTGGTGGCACAGGCCTTTAATACCAGGCGGAGGCAGGCAGATCCCTGTGAGTTCCAGGCCCACTAGGCTATAGGGAGACTGTCTTAAAAAGACCAAAAACAAAAAACAAAAGAGAGAGATTGATTGGTAGCAAAGAAGCTGTTTATATTGAAATGAGTGATTAAAACTGTACGTGACCTTATTAAGTGTTTTGTATTATTTGCTTTCAGATGTAAATTTGTTTGACCTCTAGAATGTCAGTTACCATATTTATTATTATGTATAAGTTTAGTCCTGACTTTTTCTTATGTGATTTAATGAATACAGGTTGGAACTTAGAGAGCCACTATTTCTAGGAAACCTGACTTTTATTAAAGAGATCATGTGATTTTAAAAATATTTTTCAGTATATATTGATAAAAGAGGGGGAAAGCATTAATCCTGAATTTCTGCCTAGAAAAAAAAAATCTATCCATTTTTCTTAAATTTAGAAACCAGTCTTAACTTTCCAGTTTGAACATTCTGAACTGATTGTGCTTGTGGAGTTAATATGATTTACTATGAATTAATATGAATTGCATTTTTTTTTATCTGGTTTGAGGCCTAGTTTTATATTCACAGAAAAGGACCTGGAGCAAACTGTCAGTGGGAAAAAGAAAAGCTTTTCTTAACTTCTTTGGGAAATTCCTTTTCTCTAAATTGGTCATTTGTGGGCTGGAGAGAAGGCTCAGTGGTTAAGGAGCACTGTCTGCTCTGGCAGAGGACCTGGGTTTGATTCCCAGCACCCACATGGTGGCTAACAGTCATCCCCAACTCCAGTTCCAGGGGATCTGACACCCTCTTCTGACCTTTGGGTGCATTGCAAGCAATACATTCATAAACATAAAATAAAAAATTAAAATATTTAAACTTGTCATTTGTAATATCGGTTGTAAAGTTGTCCACAGACACCTTTGCCCTAGATATTTTAAGCTAAAATTCTTACTGTTCATGATGCATTTCTATAAAGCAAGAAGAGACAAATGAGTGGAATCTTGGCCCCTATGGGAATATGGTCCAGACTGATTTCAATTATGAGAATATGAAGATTTCAGCCGACATAAGTAGTCTTTCATAGATGTCAGTCTATAGAAAAAAGTTGTATGCTGCTAGTAATTAGACGTAAAATGATCAGTTTTAGTGTCGGAGAATATAGTTCATTAGTAGACATCTTGCCTAAATGTGCAAGGCCCTGAGTTCAGTTCCTAGCACTGCAAAAGGAAAAAGGAAGAAAGATAGAAAAAAAGCGAGGGAAGGAAAGAAGCAAGGAGTTGTGTGTAATGCACTATTATGACCCTGTGTGTGTGTGTGTGTGTGTTTGTGTGTGTGTGTGAGAGAGAGAGAGATTTTTTTTTTCTTTTAAAATTTTTTAAATGCCATAGGTGGGAAAAGGCTGTTGACACTAGCTAAAAGGGAAAGGAAGGAAATTTCATAGCAAAATTCTGGAAGCATCACATCCAGAGATGCCACCAGATACTATACTTTCTGGTCCACCAAGTTCTGTTATTGGTGCCCTAGCTGTAGAGCCCAACTCTGCATCTAAACACTTGTCCACATTAACCAGCACTCAGGAAGTCAGAGGCAGGTGCATCTATTCTAGTTTGAGGTCAACCTGGTCTATATAGTAAGTTTCAGGCTAGCCAGGGCTACATAGGGAGACCCTGTCTCAAAAAAAACAAAAATGGGGCTGCAGAGATGTCTCATTGGTTAAGTGCACTTGCTGTTCTTACAGATGACCTAGGTTCAGTTCCCACCACCCACATAGCCACATGGCAGCTAACAATGGTCTGTAACTCCATTTCCAGCACCCACCAGGCAATGCACATGGTGCATGTATACTCATATACATAAAGTAGAAATTAATCAATCTTTCTAAATTTTTTAAAAGGTGTGCATTGACACAGTGTACAAAGAAATGAAAAAATGAGCTTATTTATAGTTTTGACCAAAGTTGAGGAGAAATTCTCATTCTGTCACCTTGCTTGCAGCAGTGACACAGTTTATAGCAAAGAAAAGCAATGAAATAAGCATATGTAGATCATCTTTGTCCGGTATGATGGGTGCCTCTGGCATTGGGGCTCTTGCATTGGATTTCCTGGAAGAATCCTAATTCTTAGGGGCTTCATGATATGTCTAAGAAAATGAGAATATTAAAATTGCAGAGAGAATTCTTTTTGGAGCTATGGGTAAAACAGTAGCTGAACAGAAATTTTGTTGTACCCCCCACCCTTTTTTGCAAAGGGTACAAAATTAAAATTAAATCCTAAAATCTTTCAGGCCTGATCTATATTTCAATACCACATCAGTCACTGCTGCTATGGAGGTAGTGCCATCTTACATCCTTTTTCTTTATTTTGCGTGTAAGAAGTGGTAAGAAGTCCTCTAAAATTATAACCCAAATGAAAAACAAAAGAATGCCATTTTTTTCTTTTTCCTGTCAGTGATCTGTGGGGCACTATTTGAGCTCAGGGTTGCTAGGTACCTGCTGTTTGCATCCTCCTCTATTGTGTGGCAGGTTTCTACTTCACGATCGCATCAAAATCATGGAAGAACTTCATAGTCTTAGAGCTTAGAGTTGTGGGCATGTGTTCTCTGTTTATATGTGAGATTTTTATACTTTGCCTGGTTCTCTTTGCATCGATGCTTACTCCTAGTTACCACAGCCTTTTAGCAATGTAAATAAATAGTCCTTTAGTGCTTGGTGCTTGATGTTCCATAAAGTCCATAAAGTTGTTTTCGTCTATTTCTTTCCACCCAGACACTTGTAAAGCTTTACCCTTCTCCTCAGTCCAGTACTTCCTGGCTCCATTCTCCAAACTGAAAGTGACCCGGAAATGATTCACTATTTCTAGCCCAGGTTTTGTTTCCTAGGAAACCAGATGTCCGGATGTCAGTGAGCTCCTAAGAGCTTGAAAAGATGTAGTTTAACTGGTTCAAGCTGCGTGACGGAGAAACTTGAAGAACTGCCAAATAAATGGGCTTTATGGTTAGAAAAGACTGGACCTAAATGATTGCTACTCTTACCCATTTTGGCTTTAGGGAAAAATTACCCTTGAGACAAAAGGGAATGAGAACTATTTTGATGTGTTTCTTTTTTTTTTAGATAATTTGTGGCTTAACCAAAAGTGTATTAGAAGACCATTTCACTAAATAAATGCTAAGGCAAATTCATTTAGTCTCATAGGCGATATCTAATATAGTATTACACATACGCAATTTCAGTTTGGCATTTAGTACATTAGAAATACAATAAAATTTCAAGTTTTTTAGATTTTTACATTGTTAGTATTTTGGGTGTGTATGTTTTGTATATCTGTGTGTGTGCACATGCACGTGTGTCTGTGCAGGTGCATTGAGGACAGAGGACATTGCCGTCATCTCTCACTTCCTTATTCCCTTGAGACAAGGTCTTTGTCTGAACCTGGAGCTCACCATTTCTTGGCTAAGCTGGCTGGCTAGCCAGCAAACCACACCGGTCTTCCTGTTGTGTGCCCTCACACTCTCACCCTCCGCCCCCAGCTGGGGTTAGAGGTGAGCATGGTCAGACCAAGCTTTTTCTTCGTGGGTGCTGGGGCTCTGAACTCAGGTCCTTGTGCTGGCACAGCAAGCACTCTTAACCACTGAGCTGTCTTCCAAGCCCCATTGGCTATGTCAGTTAGAACAAAGTGGCACTGTCATCTCGTTACCATCAGTAGAATGTTTCCAGCATTTATAGCATTTAGTACGTTGTCAGACTCAGCTTATGGATTTTTTTGAGATCAACATGCTTGATAAAGTTCTTCAAGAAGCTTATTGGGGCTGGAGAGATGGCTCAGCACTTAAGAGCACTGGCTGCTTTTGCAGAGGACCTGGCTTCAGTTTCCAGCACCCACATGGTGTCTAACAATCATCTGTAACTCCATTTCCAAGGGATCAGACTTCCTCTTCTGGCCTGTGATGTGCTTAGATGCAGGCAGAACACTTATACACATAAAATAAAAATTAACAAGAAAAAAATTTTTTCTAAAGTAAACAAAAATTTTAGAATGCTTATCAATTGGACTGATTTAACAGATGATTTTGTGTGTGTGTGTCTTTTTGAGACAGGGTCTCCCTATAGCCCAAGCTGTCCTGGAACTCACTACATAGACTAGGCTGGCCTTGAGCTCACAGAGATCCGCCTGCCTCTGCCTCCCAAGTGCAGGGACTACAGGCGTGCGCCACCACGCCCGGCTAACAGATGATATCTTTATATATTCACAGGGGTCAGGAGAGTGCTGGTATTGTGACCAGCGATGGGAACTCTGTGCCCACATTCAAAGTTCATAAGGTAAGCATGAACGTTAAAAAATGTTGATGGTGTTAGAGATAACAGTTGGCAGCTGGTCTTTATATATTGAGGCAGGTCTGAATCAATTTGCATTTAGATAAATTGCATGTGGATAAATCCATGTCCAAATTTCCACTCTCATATTTGTCAAATTAGTTATGTATTTCTTTGCCAGTAAGGCAGGCTCATTCAAGCCAGGAGGTCATCTACTTAGATTATGTTAAGGTCTTGATTTTTCTACATGCCAATTTTAGTTTATATTTGACGTTTTATTGCTTCGTACATCTATTCTTACATGTGGTAATTAAAAATGCACTTTTACTTTACCTTCTCAAGGGAATGGGTCTTGTAAACCATGTTTTTACTGAAGACAATTTGAAGAAATTATATGTTTCAAATCTTGGAATTGGACATACGAGGTATGCCACTACAGGAAAGTGCGAATTAGAAAATTGCCAGCCGTTTGTTGTTGAAACGCTTCATGGGAAAATAGCTGTGGCACATAATGGCGAACTGGTAAATGCAGCTCGATTAAGGAAAAAGGTAAGTTTTTAAGTGCTTGTTTCTTAATTGTAATAGCTAATGAAATGCTGAAGATCTTGACAAGGCATTTTCTGATTATTGCTATTACCTAAGTACAGTGAGCAATTGCATCAGAATTGCCTGCAGTGCTTGCTCTAATTGTAGATTCTTGTTCTCCCCGTGTGATTTGAAGCAGTGAAGTGATGCTTTAGCATTTCAGTTTGGAATGTTGATTTATGGTTGTTATCAGTTACACATAGAAATTACTGTCACTACCCTTACAACTTCCTATGTTCAAGGTTTGTGTAAGAGGAAAAGCCTAGCCTCTTTTATCTATGTTCAAACTCAACATAGCTTATTTCTGTGATTAAATCGAGTTTTCTTAATTCTACTGGTTTTTGAGAAGTTACCAACTAGGTGTCCTGTAGTTCAGTTTTTCCTTTAGGTTAGCTCTCATAGGTTAAGAACTCTTTATTGTATCACTGTCCCTCACCACAAACCTAGGCCTCCGGCACTAAGGATGTCCTGACTATAAATTGAGTTCCTGCATCTCCTTGATTTCAGTCATTTGGTAAAGCAGTGGCTCATGTTTAGGCTTATTTAAAAGACATGAGGGAGACATACCAGTCAGGGGGAGAGATGGTTAACATAGGGTTTGTGGGAAGAGGAGGCATGGGGGCTTTAATGTCTTCTAAACACCCTGTCTAGGAACCTCCAGGTATGTGCACACTTTCTGTTTAGCATTTTTAGCACTGACATGTCACATATGATAAGCAGTTACAGAAGTTGAATGGTAGTGAATTGGTGGTTTAACATATCTGGAACCCAGGCTTCAATGCTTCCTGTGTTTTCAACACTTTCTGTTTTCAGTTGTACCTTCAGGGGTTTCCTAGTGCTTTGCCATGTCTTCTTCATGGGCATTAGCATTATACCAACTATAATACACATTTCTCTCTGCAAATGAGAAATTAAATGGTTCATTTTAAAAGTTTAGACACTCAGAAAACTCTAAATATGAAATGAATTATTAGAAGTTTACTACTTAGAAATAGTCACCAAGAATTCAGTTCTAGACTATCTCATTGTTTCTAGACATAACCCCTTATCCAGATGCTAGACTTAACTCTGTACATGTAGCTGTGTATTGAAAATGCTTTTTAGTGTTCACTTAAAATATTCTGTACATGCCTATGGTATGCACCTGTCGTGGTCAGTCTTATTCAGAACATCATGATCATCATAGAGTACAATGTTTATTATATCTTCTGCATTTGCTATTTAGTACAGTTGAACCTTGTCTTCTGTCAATGTCAGTGAGTCTAGTTCTCCATTTATGCCACTAGCAAACTCTGAGGTCACCAGAGGAGTGTGCTAGTCCTACAGGAATGTGTCCTGTTTGCCAAGAGTATCAAGGATAGGAAAGGCCTGCAGTCAAGGCCTTTTGCAGGTCTGCATGTTCTCAGACTTCAGTTTTGCTTATTTCCCCTTGCTTACCAGCGGAGGCTTCCCATTGCTCCCAGCAGTAGTCCCCTACCATTAGTATACACATACCTTGAGTGGGATGCAGGGGTTTTGTAACTGAGTTTCTGTAGAGTGCTGTTGGATGAGAGATGGAGCGTCTTCTCCTCAAATGATGAAACTTTCTTCTCCTGTGTAGCTTCTGCGGCATGGCATTGGTCTTTCCACAAGCTCTGACAGTGAGATGATTACCCAGTTGCTGGCATATACTCCTCCTCAGGAACAAGATGACACTCCAGATTGGGTAGCAAGGTAATTATTTGTACAACTGGACTGTACTTCAGCTCTGGTAATGAAAGTTTTACCTTGCATATATTTGTAACAGAAGTCATTTCATTCAGTTATTTAATTCCAGGATTAAAAACTTAATGAAGGAGGCACCCACAGCATACTCTCTGCTTATAATGCACAGGGATGTTATTTATGCAGTACGGGATCCTTATGGAAATCGTCCTCTATGCATTGGTCGCCTTATTCCAGTTTCTGATATACGTGACAAAGGTAATGAGCTTCAGAGGGAATTTGGTTTTCCTAATGCTTTTCAAAGTCATTGTCTTTGTATTGGCAAGTCTTAAAGTTCCCCCGCCCCCTTTTTTCTCTGATGAACCCTGAAACATTGGGTATAAGAACCTTATTGATGATAAGAGACGGGTGGGACTAGAGAGATGGCTTAACAGTTAAGAGCATTGGCTGCTCTTGGCAGAGGATCCTGTTCAGTTCCTAACATCCATGTGGCAGCTTACAACCATCATCTGTAACTCCAGTTCCTATTTCTTCCTGTCTGAATTACCAGTTCCTATCCATTTCTAACCTTTTTATTTCTGTAGTGATTTTTCTTTTTGATTTATCAACTATCTTCTTCAAACCATGATATAATAATGGGAAGTATCTTGGATTATATGTTTTGTCTTTGACTTAAGTTATGTAGAATCACCTGCTTTTATAGTAACTTGGGGCTGGAGAGATGGCTCGGCGGTTAAGAACACTAGTTGTTCTTGCAGAAGACCCGGGTTTGAATCCCAGCACCCACATGGCAGCTAACAACTGTCTGTAACTCCAGTCCCAGGGGATCCAGCAGCCTCTTCTGACCTCCGCAGGTGTTGCATGGCATGGGTGCACTTACCTATATGCAGGCAAATACATGCATACATGTAAAATTTAAAAAGTAAAAAATAAAATAAAAAATTAAAAAAAAATTCCTGATAACTTTTTATTCATTTGATGTTTAGCTATTCTGGTGAAATAGCCTCTTTTTTAGATTTTCATGTGTGCAGGTCAGAGGACAAGTCGAGGAATCTGCTCTCCTTCTACCATATGGTTTTCAGGGACTGAGCTCAGGTCATTAGACCTGGTGGAAAGCATATTTATTGGGTGACACATCTCACTGGCCTGCATAGCCTCTTTTTTAAAAAAAATTCCTTGAATCTATTTATTAAATTGATTGTCTTGTGGTTTACAGAGAAAAAAACTTCAGAAACTGAAGGATGGGTGGTATCATCAGAATCGTGTAGCTTTTTATCTATTGGTGCAAGGTAAGTTGTATCTAATTAACTATTTTATTTATTAGTTTTTTGATATGATATTGATGAGAATTTTTCTGCCAGATTTGATAACACATGCCTATAATCATAATACTCAAAAGTCTGAGGCAGGAAGATCATAAGTTTAAGGCCAATTTATTTTGCGCTGTATACTGACACTGTCTCAACAACAGAAAAGGCGAGGGAGGGAGAAAGAACAGAAAACTTCTTAGGCATGGTGGCACACATCTAACTGTCTGGTATTGCCAAGTGAGGAAGCCAATAGTGGAGACTCAGGGAACCTTGAGCCCAGGAGTTTGGTATCAGCTTGGGCACCCTGTGTGCAAATATGAGAGAGATAAAGAAATGAGAACAGAAGGATTGTAATTTTTAAAAGGCAGGGTTTTTGTTTTGTTTTTTAGACATTTTATTTTTCTATGATAGCTTCCTTTCTAATGAAGGGAAATATTATAAATGCTTTTGTTATATTGTATGTAGCAGTTGTCCCTATATTACCTCCGATTCTGAAAGTGTCATTTGTCTTTCAAAATACCATAAGATTTACTTGATTTTTTTTTTAACTTAGTGTTTGTGCTTTTCAGGTCTCACTCTGTAGCCCATGCTGCCCTGGCACCTGTGGCAGTCTCTTGGGTGCTGGGATTGCACATAATATCCAGCTCAAGAGATTTTATTTATTATTTAATTACATTTATTTGTGTATGAGGGAGGTGTGCCATGGTGTCTGTGTGTAGGTTAGAGGACAGCTTGGAGGAGTTGGTTCTCTCCTTTGACCAGGTAGGCCCTGGGGATCCAACTGAGGTTGTTAGGCTTGGCTACAAGTGCCTGCTGCTCAAGCATGAGGACCCCAGCACCCCTGTAAAAGCCGGTTGCACTGGTGCACATCTATAATCCCAGTACTTGGAGGTAGATGAGGAATATTTTTTTATCTGCTTTTTTACATTTATTTTTTATTTTGTGTTATTGGGGCTCATGTGCTATGACTCAGATGTGGAGGTCAGAGGACAACTTGTCAAGAGTCAAGTTTTTTTCCTTCTACCATGTGTGTTCCAGGAATCAAACTCAAGTCTTGGAAGCAAGGGCCATTACCTGCTGAGCCATATCACTAGCACCTTAAGCCATGTTATAAAATATTGAAGTGGGACTGGAGAGATGGCTCAGTGCTTAAGAGCACTGACTGCTTTTGAAGATGACCCCAGGATTTTTCCCCAGCACCCACACAATGGCTAACAACCATCAATAATGCCAGTCTAGGGGATCTAATACTTTTCTGGGCCCTGCCAGCCCTTCTTGCACATGGTGTACTTACATACAGGCAAAACACTGATTAAAAAAGTTTTGTTGTTTCATTTTGAGACAATGTCTCCCTGTATCTTTAGCAGGACTGGAATTCACTAGGTAGACCAGGCTGGCCTTGAACTCACAGCAATCCCCCTGCCTCTGCCTCCAGAGTGTGGTCCTTTTTTTTTTTTTAAGTTTTATGTGTGTGAGTATTCTGGCCACATGTGTATGTAAGTGTGCCTGTGTTGTGGAAAGCCTGCAGAGGCCAGGAAAGGTTGGATTTCTTGGAACTGAGTTATAGATAGTTGTTGGCTGCCATATGGGTGCTGGGAACTGAACCCAAGTCCACAAGAGCAGCCAGTGTTCTTAACCACTGAGCCATCTTTAGCTCCCCCCGCCTTTTTTTTTTTCTTTGCAAAAGAAGCGCAGTAACTTTATTCTGAGCAAAGCAATAGTACAAATTACAGAGTGATACATTGTCAAGATGGACAGCAAGCCACACTTGAAGAAATATTCAAGGACTCCTTTATTTCTCAAAAGGTTAATAAGACATAAGTCCCTTGTTTGTAAAATTCTAAAGTTAAGAACAGAGTTAGAGGGATTATTGTTGGAGGGCCTCCCCCCTTCTCTCTCTCTTCTTTTTTTGGGGGGAGGGTCATTTTGAAACAAGGTCTCACTGTAGCCCCAGCTGTCCCGGAACTTGCTATGTAGACCAGGCTGGTCTGGAACTCACAGCGATCCACCTGCCTCTGCCTCCCAGGTGCTGAGACTACAGGCGTGTGCCACCATGCCCAGCTTCTCTCTTTGTTCTTTTTAAAACCATCTCTAAATTTTATATGAAATGATTCCATTTTTCTCTAAATGAAAAGAGACTCTGTACTTTATAATTGATGCTATCATCGGCTTTAAGGATTATCTTATTAAATCTCTTTTTTCTGGTTTTTGTAAAAATAGTATATATTGCTGGGCATGATGGCGCATGCCTTTAATCCCAGCACTTGGGAGGCAGAGGCAGGTGGATCTCTGTGAGTTCAAGGCCATCCTGGTCTACATAGTGAGTTCTAGGACAGCTGGGGTCAAAAAGACACCTGACATCTTTGGGTGATCCTAGAACCCACCCGAGGAAACCTGAATTGTTTTATTTCTGGTCTACTGTCTCAAAAAGGCATGAGTAAGTCCCC